TCAGTTCCATGGCAGAACCTGGAACCTACAAGATACCTTGTAGGTTCTAAGTAGGGATGAAAATGGATTGGATCAAATTTGAATTAGGGTATATCTGAATATGATCCGATACACTATATATTCAATAGAATCTCATAAATACTATTCGAATTCGAATCCGATTAGGATGTCAGATATCCGAATATGATCCGATCCGACTTCATTTAAAAAATAATAATAAATTATTAAAAGAAAAATATAACAATTTAAATAAATAAAAATAAAAGTATTTTCAATTATTTTTCTCATATGTATACACACATGTTCTTTATAAAAAATTACAAAAATGCAATATAAATAACATATATGTGTGTTTGTGTGTGTGTGCATATATCGGATCGAATCCTTTCAGATCGGGTAGGGGTGATCCGAAGATCCGAAATAGGGATATCTGAATCCAACAAAATAGGATTGGACTTCGGATCGGATCGATTCATAATCCAATCCATTTGCACCCCTAGTTTCCAGATCTTTGGAACCATAACCCGCCATGTAATGGTTGGTTCCTTGGTGGTTTTGAGGTCTACCCGTGGAATTTGTCCTTTCTTTACTCTCCCCCTTAAAAAGAAAATAAACATGTTCTTTAAAAACTTGATTTAATGTATAGTTTAAAACTTATATTATTTTATTGATTAAATTGAGTAATTTAATATGTACATTGTCATAATATATTAATAAATGGTTCAAAACTAATCATTATAATTTAAAATTTGTAAACATTACCTCCTACATTGCTTATTATATACATTCAAATATCAAAATGAAAACAATTGATTAAATCACTTACATAATTCATTAGTTGAGTGAGATTGTGGCCTTTATAACCATGAGTGCTTGAGTTCAAATCACATCCTCAAAAATATTTTGGGTTTATTTCAAGGCAAATTCAGTTCCAACACTAGTTCCACCAAGGTCAATTCTACTAATGCCAACCAAGGTCATTTTGAGTAGGATAAACCCCTTGATCTTGGAGGTAGTTTGGATGGGGGTCAGTTTCTAATAATTTGGAACCAGACCTTACCCTATAACAAATTGGGTAGAGTCGGTTCGAGGCCAATTCCATTCGATTCTAGATAGAACCTACCCATTTGCTCACATAGAGATGCAACGGATCAGATCATATTCAAATCAGGGTACACTCGTATCCGATCCGATTGAATTCGATAAACATGGATCTGAATTCAAATCTGATGAGGAAATTGGATTTTCAGATTTGATTTTATAAAAAGTTTAATAAATTATTAAAAGAAAATTAAAATATAACAATTTAAATAACGAAAAACAAAAACTGCAAGCATCTTTTCAACTATTTTCATTATATATATAGATTTGATTCAGTTCGATTTGATTTTATAAAAAGTTTAATAAATTATTAAAAGAAAATTAAAATATAACAATTTAAATAACGAAAAACAAAAATTACAAGCATCTTTTCAACTATTTTCATTATATATATATATATATATATTATAAAAAATGATATAACAAATTTGTGAAAGTGCAATATAAATAATATATTTATAAATAAATCGGATATTCTTGAATTGGATAGGAGTGATCTAAATCTAATTCGATTCATGACCGGATCTTATTGTCCAACCCGATATGATCAAATCCGAAGACCCGAAGCAATCCGAAACCAAAAATATAGGATCGAACCAGATCGGATCATAATCTGATTTGCACCCCAAGATATTTTRYATCATTTTGTTCATCGTATATCTCAAAAGGCTAAACTATGAACATCTCAAGTGGTTCGTTTTGTTTTGTTTTTAACCTAGTGGTTTGGTAATCTAATCCATCTCTTTTGTAAATCCTCAATTTAATAAATGATAATAAATGATTATATTTATTCGTCGAAATCAAAAAGAGGTGTGAGATCTCAGTAGCTGGTTATTGGGCTGGGCAGGTCTGGGTTGAGTTTATTTGAATTCAGGCTATCTAAATCATCAACCCAACTACCCAAGCATAACCCGAATTTTTGGGCTCAGGTTCAATCATGAACTTGGAAAATTCAAGCTTGACCAGTGCATAAAGATCGAGTTTAATTTTGGATTTGGCCTGTCGAAGTTAGGGATGTAAACGGATGATATCAGATTTGAATCATGGTATATGTGGATCCGGTCAGATACTATTAATTGTAGATCTGATCCCGATCTCGATCGGATTTAATAAATATGGATCTGAATTTGAATCCGATGAGAAAGTTTGATTTTTGGATATGATCTGATTCGATTTTATTTTTTTTAAAATAAAATATAACAATTTAAATAAAGAAAAACAAAATTACAAGTATCTTTTTCAACTATTTCTGTCATATATATATATATATGTTTTTTTATAAAAAAATAAATAATATAACAAATTTATAAAAAATACAATATAAATAATATATTTATAAATAAATAAATAGCACACACACACACATATATATAGGATCAGATTGAATAGGAGTGATCCAAAGACCCAAAATGGGACTATCCAAATTCAAAAATATAGGATCAGACTTCAGATCGGATAGATCAATCCATTTTCACCCCTAAAATTTCTTTTTATCATGCCCAAAATATAACTCGTAACCGACATGATACTGGACTCCATGCCATTGCAAGTGCAAGTCAATATAGAATTTAACGAGTCCAGTATCCTAAATCCATATACATTGAAATCACAAACATGGCAAATTTTATGTCAATATTTGATCGTGCAACAAAAGATATGATTGAACACAGTGGTAGGTACATCCAAAATAAAGCAGATTTAAACATAATTAGTTGAGATGTAAATTTAACATGCAACCAATATAAATGTATCATAATTAAATCCCAAATCTCACACTCGTGTAGCAAAATATGTGATTTGAATCGCTCCTCCAATTCAGCTACTCACTTTTTTGCTAGCAGAAAGGGTGTGTGTGGTTTCACTCCTCCCCCTCTTTTCTCTGTTTTATTGCGGTTTGTTCAGGCTGAATTGTATTTCAAACTTTTTCTCTCCCACTAATGGATAATTCTGTATTTTACCAAAAAAAAAAGTRATTGATTGAAATCTGCAATTAATATCTTAATAAAATCCAAATACAAATTACAATATATCCAAATACCATATGTTATATATAATTAATATTTAATAAAACATGTACATTAATCTACACTTGTATATTATACTATTATGTAGAATACAATCCAACATTCATTTGTGCTTTTTTTGGGAAGATTTCCAATTAGTAGTATCCTGTACTTTGGGCCTAGTGTGACTTTGGTCCTTGAACTTTAAAATGCGACAATTCATTACCCAAACTTTTAAAACATGTCAATCTAGTACCTTCTGTTAATCAATTGTTAATTAGCCGTTAAGTTGCATTTTAAAAAAAACACAAATGTCCTTCAAGTGTTATCTAATTCTTTTTATCTACAATCCAAATATTGACAAGAAATTAATAATTTCAAATTCTTACCTTTTCTATTCAAGAACTGTTAATTTTTTGTTAACATTTAGATGATTGATCAAAAAAATTAGATGACATTCAAACTCTTGAAAGGCATTTGTATTTTTTTCAAATATCACTTAACGATTGATCAACAACTGATTAACAATCCATACTAAATTAACACATTTTGAATGTTCAATTACTGAATTATTCCGGGACAAAAAATGACTCTATGCCCAAATTTTTTTTTATAAAGTGAGGCCCGCACCGTTAGCGTAAACGGTAGGAGGCCCGAGGCCCACACATTGGTTTCGGCATTTTGATCCCCATTTTTCTTGGGCTGCACGCCCGTGATGCCGTTCACGCGAGAGACTGATACGCTCCCACACAAAGCTTCCACTTCCAGACGGTCATGGCTCACACAAAGCTTACTTTGCCGTCTACCGAAGCAACACTGGATCCTTTGCTTTCAAGATTGGATTTAGTCCCCACTTACTTTTAGACCATTTGGTTTCTCATAATACCGAAAACACCCCCTAAATCTTACCACAACAAAATAGTGCTCTCGTTGTAAGAACAGACAGCAGTGCATCCCACCCTACACTCTCTGCATCCTGACCGTTCCATGGCCTGATACATGACAAAACATACGGAACCCAATTAGTAGGGTCCATCTCTCCTCCATTAATTTTGGATGGTTGGGAATTGGGTCCAATCCGCCGACCTAATTTGGGCCTGATAAACGGGATGAGAGATTGTAAATAAATCCACTTTCTTTATCATTACATATTATTATTAATGCATGCATGCATGCAAAATATTTCTGAATAGGATTTTGTCGATTTCTACCCACCAGAACCCGCCGATTTGGTGGGTCTGGGCCTGAACCCTGGAATGGAATCTGGGTCTGCAGAGAATATATGGACTGGCTTGAATCCAATCTGCCGACACCTTATCATCCATTAAAAAATATACATAAACAAACATCTGATATCGTATTGGGATGATCTATTTACAAAATTGGATCAAATTCGGATTTCGGAACTTATCTTTTAGTATTCGAATTGACGTCTATTCATCCGATCCGATTGAATTTTACAATACACATATTATCTAATTGTATAAATATATTTTATATGTATGCACAAGTTAAAATAATTAATCTTTTATTTAAAAATAATGAAACACTCGGGCTAATTTCGAATCCGACCCAAGACCCTTGGATCCAATCGGATTCCAGATCGGGATTTTCGGGTACAACTAAATCCTATCCTAATCCGATCCGATTACAGGTCCGTCTAGATTATAGCTCTGTGGACTGTGGAAGACTTRGACACCATTGAAGCAATATTTGCCTGGTGGCTGGTTATCACGGTATGACCAATACAAAGTGATTTACAAAGTCTGATTTGGGTTAATGGAGGTTTGAGATTGAATGTGAAATAAGTTGCAGAAGCGGGTTGCTCATGCCTTAATCTTTTTTTCCTGCTTTTCAGTAAACTTAACATGCAAGGGTAATAAGGTAGTCACGAGAGAGCGAGAGAGAGAAGAGTGCAGAGAAGCTGGTCCTGTTTGCTGCTTCAGAATTTGTCAGTGTCTTATTACGACACACGCATCAAACCAAACTCGTCATCTTTTTGCGACCATTTTATAAGGTGGTTTCTGGCTACATATGTCATGTAGCGTCTCTGAAGCCCGAAGCTTGAAGGAGTATAGTTCTATTGCAGCAACTGAACATGGTTCTCAGGATCTCTCTTCCGTTTCTGGCCTTAGCTTTCTTCCTGTCTTCGCCCACCGGAGAGGCTGTTGTTTTCAAATATCTGGCCGTGTTCAACTTTGGAGATTCCAACTCCGACACGGGTGAGCTTGTTGCAGGGATGGGCGACCATCTTGACCCACCTAACGGACAGACCTACTTCCTCAAACCGTCTGGACGATTCTGCGATGGCCGCCTGATTGTTGATTTCCTAAGTAATTTCTTTGGATCCGCATTGCAGGTTTTGTAGTAGTCTAGAACTCTAGATTTAGGTTTTCGGGCCTGGCTTGTTTGCAGTGCAATTCTTATTTGCATTGGTAGAAAAATATGGGAGTGCAAATGATTTGAGTGTATGTTCTGATTTATATTTGTTTCAGCTTTTGCCTTTTTTTTTTTTTTGCATTGCAGAACTTGAAGCAAGGTAAGGTAAAATCCAAAGCATAAGTGAACCAGAATTTGCATTCTTCTCATTTGCAGTTTTGCTTTGCACTCTCATGCATTTGTAACTAGTGCAAATGAAATTGCACTGCAAAACAAACGGGGATTGTTAAAAGAAAATTCATGGAGGAGTTGAGACTCCATGGCCACGGGGGCTCATATTCTTTGAATTGCCTTATTTGAGGAACAGGAATTAGGGGCCATTGCTTGGTGAAATGGTAAAATCTTGGGCTGACAAGTGTGAGAATGTGGGTTTGAGTCTAAGAGTGGCTGCATTGTATTAAAAAATGCTGAAGTTTAATTCTGTATTATACAGTCTGTATTGTAAACATTAGGCATACTGATTATTATGTAGCCAGGGTTATCTAATCGTTTTAGGCAAACGAAATGACTAACACCTTTCATACATTCACTTGTATTCATGATCAACATATACATGATGATCTCCCTACTGTTCCCCTGCAGAAACAAAAGATAGTTCAACCTACCTTACCCGTTTATTATTGTTTTGTATTTTGATGTAGTGGAAGCAATGGACCTACCGTTTCTAAATGCCTACTTGGATTCAGTGGGAGCGCCATCTTTCAGGAAGGGTTGTAATTTTGCAGCTGCAGCCTCTGCTATACTCCCAGCAACAGCATATTCAATCAGTCCATTTTCATTTGGGATTCAGGTGTCTCAATTCATTCAATTCAAAGCTCGAGTTCTTGACTTGCTGTCTAAAGGTATAATTAGTTGTTTTTTTTAATAAATTTTTGGAGTTGTCTGGTTGTTGGTCGCCAAAATTCTTCCTTCAAACTTATTCACTACTCATTATTGGGTTGCTCTATGCAGAACAATCATCTCTTTCAGAAACATGGCTAAACCTCTCTCTCTCTCTCTCTCTCTCTCTCTCTCTCTCTCTCAGAAAGGGGTTAAATAAGTTTTAATTTAATATAAAAATACATATGATTGATGTGGGTATGGGTACCAATCTAGATCTTAAAATGTGTTGTTTCCTAGTTCAAATTAGAAATGGAGATCATCTCTTTAATCACAAATCGTATCTAATTTTGTTTGGAAAAGCATCAGGATTTATGCTTTTAAAGCTCAAAAGCACAAACGCCCCAACTTCGGGGCATAGAAATGTTTTGCATTCAGATTATAATGTTTACTAAAGTAATTCTGGCCAAGCACTCGAAAAAACTATTTGACTCAATTTTGTTCTTCACAGCCCAAAGCTCAAAAGAAAAAGAAAATATCCAGACAGAGGCTTAGTTTCTTCAGTCAAATAAAAACCCAGATCAAATGCTTTTAAGACTTATCACATGGATAGTAGGTGCCACTCAAAATACACTTGCATTCTTGCAATGATGTAGGTCCCATTTTAGACTTAAAGCATGTTTTTAAAGCATAAATTGAACTTAGTTTCTCGAGCCATATAAAAAGTCCAGCTTAATTAAAGGCTTTCCACATAGATAGTGGGTCCAAAATAAAATACACATATAGTTGCTCTGTCCTGAGGACAGGTTCTTAGCTAGTGGATATATAAGTCTGGTAGCCAATAAGTAGTTAAAAACCTAGAAAAAGCAACCAAATCTATCTTTTCTATCAATTATTGTTACTTCTGTGCACCAACTAGGTAAATACTTGGATGATAACTATAAAATGGAAGTTGTACAGTTTGTTTAGAGATGACTTCTATGGTAAACAATGAAAGAATCCAGAAGAAATTGAGAATGGAATACCATTCTGTTTCACTCCAGTGAAATATTCATACTACTGGAATATTTGAAACTTTACAGTAATGAAATATCTGCTCAACACCATGCACCTACTCTTGAATACCTATTGCTCGCACTTAATTTTGCTACAACTATAAAAGTTAGTTGACAGCCACATTCTTGAATTCTTTGTAGGCAAGAAACTAAATAAATACCTTCCCCAGAAAAATTATTTCGAGCAGGGGCTTTACATGTTTGACATAGGCCAGAACGATTTTGCTGGTGCATTTTATTCTAAAACGGAGGATCAAATTATTGCTTCAATTCCAACAATTTTGTTGGAGTTTGAAGCTGGAATTAAGGTCAGGTGAAGTTCTAATTTAATGTATAAACTTGTCCATTCCTCTTCCTATCAGTATTTCCTTTATTTACTATCCCCACCTTTCTCAATCCATATTAATCTAGTTATATTATCAAGTAATTGAATTTGTTCTCATTTTTTGCTCTTCTTTCAGAGGTTATACGACCAAGGGGCAAGGAGGTTTTGGATTCACAATACTGGTCCTCTGGGATGCTTAGCTCAAAATATTGCCACATTTGGAAAAGATCCATCTAAGCTTGATGAGCTAGGATGTGTCAGCTCACATAATCGTGCTGCTAATCTTTTCAATTTGCAACTTCATGCTCTCTGTAAAAAACTACAGAGTCAATTTCCGGATGTAAATGTTACTTACGTTGATATTTACTCAATAAAGGCCAACCTTATTGCAAATTATTCTCAATATGGTAAGTAGAGCATCATTTATGATTGACTTGCTTATTTAACCAATAAATATGTTTCTCACACTCACACAACTTGCATATACTTATAGTTCTTGATTTCTCTGTTAAGGCAATGATTGAGTACTGGCCTGAATTGTCAATATGGATTTTTGAGAAATAAGCTTCTTTTTGTACAAGGAGGGTTATCTATCAGCTTGAATATTGGGTTTGTCTTCAGCCCAATTCAGTAAATTAAAGGAGATTCAAATGTTGTGAAGGTCTAGCAGTTTTTTCTTTAATTATTAATACAGACAATCTCCTGATAGATACTTTGTTTCTTCAAGGAAACTGCATCTTGAGAATTCTCAAGAAAGTATTAACTAATACTGCTAGAAAGTTGAGAACATGAGAACTTTGGTACAAGAGCCAAGGGTCATGTCTACAACCCAATCATTCTTTTTATCAGTAATGTTCCAAATTAAAGACCTTTGATCTTGCAAGATTGACACTTTTCAGGGTTTCAACAACCAATAATGGCTTGCTGTGGGTATGGAGGTGCACCATTGAACTATGACAGTCGGATCTCCTGTGGCCAGACGAAGACTTTGAATGGGAGCTCAGTTACAGCCAAAGGTTGCAATGATTCAACTAAATATGTAAACTGGGATGGAATCCACTACACTGAGGCTGCAAATCGATTTGTCTCAACTCAAATACTGACTGGAAAATATTCTGACCCACCTTTCTCGGACAGGATGCCATTCCTTTTCAAACTCAAGTTCTAAGGGGCCAATTTTCTATTTGTTATTTTCATCATCTAACAAATTGTATTTATTTTTATTTTTCTTAGTTTTTTTTTTATTTCTAAGTGCTATTATCCATATTTAAGAGAAACTTTATTTGTAAATTAGAGCTATAAAATGCAGTAGTAGTATCTCATTCTTTGTGATTATATATTATAAGATTCAGCATCACAAAACAAAACTTTGGATTTAGCCTACCATAAATTATCAATGTTTCGAATAACTATCCAGCAGAGTTGACTACATTCTGTTGCAAATGAGGGTGCAGAGTGCTACATTCCTCCCACCAATTATTCTGCATTGTTGTAACAACTGAAGAAAGAATTTGAGTCAATTCCATGGAAGAAAACAGAAGAGCAGAAACGCTTTCCCCATGGATACAAGTATTTAACTGTATTTTGAAAGCTGCAACTGATTATTAGGTGCATTAATGCCACCAATTGCCACATATCCTTATACACATTTATTGTTTATTTTGTTTGATGGTTATATTTATAAATGAGGTATATGCCTAGAAGAAAACAAGACAGTTGCATGAAGGATGAACTTGTTTAGTTTAACCACCCCTCCCAACACCCCAGATAGCTCGGACCAGCATCAGGTGGCCTTACAGAAGTTGTTTCTTTTGAAAAATAAATTAATATATACTGGCAAAAGCAAAGGTTTTTTATGATAGTTTTCATAGTTGTGAAAAAAAAATAATGAGGATATGTTTTATAACAGTACAGTTTATATGCACTCTTGGACATAATTCCAAGTCTACATATGCTCTCTGAATGAAACAGAGTAATTTAATAATAATACTTGTTTATACAGATAATGCAAAAAAGAAAAAGAAAAAGGAAAAAAGAAAAAAAAAACTGTTCTTATCCTCAAGTGCTCAATTTCATGCAATTTGGTTTCTCTACATAGAATTTGTACAACTATCTGTTGTACTCATGAAACTCACTTTTTGGAGACATAAGCATAGTATTGTGCCATTGGGACAACAAAGGCAATCACTAACAAGCCTCCAACAACAAGAGAGAACTGTCCACGTTTGTCCTCTGTCTCTTCCTTGGTTTTAAAGTTGGATTCTCGCTTGTTCTCCTTGAACTTTGGCCCTCCAGGATCTGGCAACCCATCAATGGCAGCAACAAGCCGTTTGGCTGTGCTATACACAGCCTCATTGTACTTTTCATCCGTAGCCAAGACTACAAGACACGACGCAGTAGTTCAATCATCCATGGATATTTTCTGAAACAAGTTTGTATTTCTAGCCATTTCATTGAATAAACATAAGAAAAAAAAAGTAAGTGGACAGTCAATGGCTTTGAAGGTATTAGAGTCGAGAGATTACCAGATTGGTTGTCTATGACTATTGGCTGCAAATGGTATCTATTTTGATTTGAATTCGATCCATTTATAATTGGATCAAATATGATTCCACTCCCATCTGTCTGATAAAATCCGATTGGTTTTGATTTAAATATATATGCTCATATATACTTAAAATTTATATTAAAGTTTTACTAAATTGTCATAGTTCAAGTTTCATACAAGTTAATTTCAATTTATTTTGTTCATCCCCCCTATTTTGTTCATGAAATATAATATCAAAGTCATTTTTACTTCATTTTACTAATAAATATATAATATTTTGATCTTTATAAGTTTCACTTATACCAAGTTTCAAAATACCGATAGAGGCATATCAGGCAGTATCAATAGCTTTTTTATTTTTTTTAGGTTTTTTTTTCAAATATAGTTCAAAGGGGCCGGTTTAACGTCCACCCCCTGAACCAGTCAAAACCCTGATACACCCTCTATAGGGGTGCATTGGGAAGCTCCCAAAACGATACTTATCGACAGATACGGCTTGATATGTGTCAATATTTTGAACCTTGATTAATACCATTCAATATCCAATTGCAATCTTATTTCAATTCGAGTGGATAAGATCCAACTCAAATTTGACTATAAACAAATCAAATTTTGAGCTACCTATATCCGATTCGATTGGATCCATTTGCAGTCCTATGTGTTCCATCTAAGTAGTAATTTTTCTATTGCAAGTTGCTCAAATGCTCAAGAGCTCAGACTTCAAAAAAAAAAAAAAGAACAGTGTCTACTTACCAGGAAGGTTCTCAGATACTGTGGCATCAAGAACAGTGTCTCCAACAGCCTTGATGAATGCAGGCCCACCAGTGATCGCCCCTTCTTTCTGACTAGTAACGAGCACGACAATCCCCTTGTTGTTTCCTTCCTCAATAGTGGGATACCAGCGCTCCAAAACTTGGTCAGCATACTCGAAAGCATCAGCTTTGCTCTGCAATCAGAACATATTTTGGCAATTACAAACCAGAAAGCCTAAAGGCTTTTTCTTCTCTCGAATTATAAAAGTTCACAAAACAAAGAACTTCACCTCCTCAAATCATCAAATGGGTACCCTGGGATTTCAGAACTGCATTATATAGCAGAAAGATGATACTCAACCACCCCCAAAAAAAAGATTAAAATGCAGATAAACTTACGGTGAGCTTGCGAACTGTGATAAAATTTATGTGAAAGTTCTTTCTCGATTCCAAATCTGACAACAACTGTTTCAAATCAGATCTTGTCACACGGCTAAGGACTCCCGCATCATCCACAACATACGATTCGGTTGGTGGCCCTCCACCGAGGACATCGAATTCTGATGCAAGTGCTGAATCACTAGACGAAATCGGGCAAAAGTTGATAGCAAGAGATAGTGCTAGAGCTGCTAATCCATGGTGGATATATGACACCCAGCTTCTGGGGATTGAAAGTGGGCTAATTAGTGAAGAAGAAGAAGAAGAAGAAGAAGAAGAAGAAGATGGTTTCCTTAGACTTGAATTGATGGGTTTGGTGAAGTAGACAGAACTGGATCTGGGTTGCAGAGAGGGAGATAAAAGTATTTTTGAAGATGAAGAAAAAGATTTCGTGCCGAAGAGAGGAACAAAAGAATGAGAAGAGAGTATGGTTTCCATAGAGAAGAAACAGATGATCAATGGTGGAAAATAGAAGTGAGCATAGAGTGCTCTCTCTTTCTCTCCCCACTCTCACTCCAGTTCCTTCCTTTTTCTTGTTTTTATTCTTTAATTATTTTTTGTATTTCCATCGCTTTCATTTTGATGACTTGGATTTGGATTGGGTGGTCGCGTTTGGTAAAGGATAAGAGATTAGAGAAACGTTCTTGTAACGTTCATGGGAAAAAGATAATGGCATTTAGGTCATTCCACCTTATTATTACGAGGTCAGGAAAATACTTCTGCTCTGAGCTCTTTCCACGGTGGATATCAAAGCCACGTAGTTCTTATCTCGGAAAATCCTATACTTTTTGTGATAAATGGGTAACGTGGTTTTAATATCCACCATTATTTTTTGATAAAATAACATTAATATCCACCATTAGGGGCATTCACTTTTCAAGGCGTTCACAAATTATGAAATATCGAAAAACCCTTATTTTGATTTGACAGTTAGGCTGCGTTTGTTTGTAATGCAAACGTAATTATGTATATTACATATTTATCCATTTTTCAGTTCATGAATATAAATACGGTTTACATTTTAAACCGTTTTTACATTCATCATGTTTGTTTGAAATCGGTGCAAAGGTGTGGGCCTATCATTAATTGCTCCAATTATCTTATGTTCCAATATCTCAACTTTGGTAAAAAAATTAATTATCAAATGAATACAAATATGTATCTAAATTAGGTACAATAATGCTCTCTTTTTAGAATACAAAAGTGTTAGAAAATGCAATTTTACTTTGATAATCATTATTTTTTTACGTTTCAAAAAAATGCTCACAAATGCGAACCGGGGTGCATAAATACCCTGGTTCAGTGTTTGTATCGCAAACAAACACAGTCTTAATTGCCAACGCATCGAGGCATTGAGTTAGAGGAATTTGTCGTGAATTCGAGATATTTATTTTTGTTTTGGCTACATTTGGTTCCATTACAAATTTCATTTGCATTTTGCATTGATGCAAATGAATGAGAGAGTGAAAAAGGCAATGTTTAGAAAACAAGACCAAGCATAGAACCGTAATGACGTGGTATATATATATATATATTATAGGTCATATAAATACTATATATAATATATTTTACAACTTATAATATATGTAAATATGGTGGTTAAATGGCAAGTTTCTTACTTTTTAAAGCAAAGGATTAGGATTTAAGTCTCTTAATTTATATTTTCTTTCAAATACCAATATAATGAAATAATATGCAAAATAAAGAATAAAGAATCATTAATTAACATAAGTAAAGATGTGGACTAAAGGTAATAAAGCAAAGTATAGAAATTAGAGGTCATTAAAAACATTTTAAATTTTCAACTGTTAAAGGACCTAGGCGGTATCACAAGGTCGGGATCGGTTTTCTGGTCAAACCAGTCGGTTAACCGGATTTTTATCAAGTATGGTTATTGGGGTATGACCGAATTGACAAAGGTCCTGGGGTCACGATTCAATCGGTCCGGTCTAGATTTCTAAACACTGGAAAAAGGGTTTAGAATCTTTTTTTTTATAAAAAATAAGGGAAATGTTCGTTCATTCAGCTCAATTAGAAGTAGAAAAGAGATACATAAGTTTTCAGCATAACAAACTAAAAAAAAATCCTTGAAACATTGATTCTCTCCCAGAGTTTCTTTCATAACTAACCAAACTTCATATGGAGTGTGACAAGCCAGAGAATTTTGGGTATTCAAACACTAAACCAATAACTCACAGTCAGATTTCACAAAAACTAACTTCTTTACCCAACTTCTTTGTCAATTCCAGGCCAAACAACATCACTTGAGTTTCTATAAACAAAGACAGCTTTGCTTGTAGACCAGCAGCAACAATGAGTTCAGCTCTTTTATCAAAACAAACAACCAACATATTTAGGCATTGTTTAGTATCGTGGATGTTTATTTAAATAAAACAATTTGTAATTTTTTTATTTGAAAAACAAAAAAATGTTAAAAATAATGTGTTTCACAATAGATGGTAAATAAACGGTTGAGGGTTGGGGGTTGGGAAAACATTAAAAATGATGTTTTCTYCCAACAGATGACTCTCACACAAACCAATAAAATGTTTATTTAGTAAATGGTTTTACCAAATAATGGTGTTTCCCCCAATGCCTACATGGTGATGACCTATTACCGCTTTTCCAAATAAACAACCACATAACCAAATATCATGTTAGTTAGTTATGAATGCACTGTCCACCAATAGGGATGATTACCATCATGGAGCTGCCTACTTTTATTTCATGTTTGACTTTGTTCTATTTGTTTTGAAAAGAAAAATAGGAAGTAAAATAAATAGCTTCCACTTAATGAAAGATAATAGAGAAAGGGTTATCTAGAGGTGTAAAACGGGGCCATCTTGCCCTCCCTAGAGATAACTTGGGGGGTCGGCCCGACACAAGCCCACCGTGCCATGGTCCTAGGTCGAGAGCCTTGGGCGTGGGGCGAACTAGACCAGACTGGTTTTTTTACCTTTTTTGTTATTTTTTGACATTTTTTATTATTTTTTATTTCTTTGCTAAGTGTAAAACTAAAATATTTAACTTTCCTTTAGGCTTTGGGAACTATTTGAAAAAAATAAGAAATGAGAAATCTAACAAATAAATGAAAAAAAATACTTAACAAAATAAAAATGGAATAACAAATTGGAAGAAAAATAGGAAATTTATTTCATTTAAATTTGAATGATACAAATTACAAAGCATATGATGGTTGGATACTTGGATGAATGAAATATGAAAACTGGAAAGTGAAATAAATTAATAAAATATAAAAAAAATACAATATAGTTACAAATTGAAAATACAAAATTACATTGTTAAAAAAATAGCAAATAAATTAAAAAATTAAAACAAAATTTACAATAATTTGAAAAATTCTATACAACTATTGAGTGGGTATACAAAAAATATTGACTTCATCATTTTCTGATTTTCTCCTATTGTTCATGAATTTCATCTTCTGTTTCAGGTGAAATATTGGGTGTAGCGTCATGCCCTCCTTTGTCTTGTAATCTATCTTCAGTATCCAATCAATCTTTAAAGCAGATGCACATCTCTATACTTTCATCATTCATACAACTTCTCTTGGTGTCCAACACCCCTGTTAGGGGTAACCATGAGCCGAGCTTCTCACAAGCTATTTGAACTCGTACCTGATACATAGGCTCATTTGCTAATCGAGAGGAGCTCGAGCCCAATAAAGCTTGACTCGTGAGGCTCGGGAGCCTAGTATAATAAATAAATAATTTTTTATTATATACACACACATACACACACACATACATACATACACATATATAAATACATATAAAATAAATAATTTTTATTATACATATAATAGTAAATAATTTTTATAATTCTTATTTTTTTTGTATGTAAAATAAAAACACTTTTTTATATGTATATTTTTTATTTTTATATGTATAATAATAAATAATTTTTATAATTCTTATTTTGTTGTATGTAAAATAAAAAATATTTTATATGTATAATTTTTATTTTTTAGAAAAAACTTGGCTTGTAGTTGAGCTCGAGCTGAGACGAGCTTGAACTTGCGAGCTTTGAATCGAGCCAAGCTTGACCTCAAGTCTCTAGCTCGAATCAAGCTTGAGCTCAAGCTCAAGCCTAAGACTATTTCAACAAGTTGAGCTTGAATAGCCAAATATTCGGCTCGACTTGGCTCGAATCCACCCTTAGTAGCTGTACTAAAACAAGACTTTAATGGAATTGTAGATATCGAAGGGGTTAGTAGATCACATGCCATAGCGACGAGAACTAGATAATTTTTTGAATGTTTACTCCACTAGGCTAAAATATCAAAATTATTTATTCCCTCACCTAAAGTAAAAAAAAWTACTTGTAAATAAAAATTAAGTTTAGTAAATGAACTTGTTGTTGAGGTAGCAGATTTCTGCCTTCTACTTATTAAATAAAAAAGTTTTTCTTTTCTACTACTGAGCTCAAGTTCAAAGTAGAAGATGTAGCTGTACACTTGTAGAATTACTTCCTATTATTTTAAATTCATATAAACTGTATATTTCATCAAATAATAAACTATTAATTTCCTTTTTTTTATTTCCAATTTCAATATTCATATTTTCACAATATGTTTCAAGTAAAATATCTAAACCATCTTTCCTAATCCTAGGATCTAATATTGTAGCTAAGCAATAAATAAGAGAAATGTTCTCCCAATATTTTTTTTTAAATTTATTTTCCATTATTTCAATAATACTTTTTAAATTGTGGATTATTTATATATTTTGCAAAACAATCACTAATCACCATTAATTTATAATGTAAATTACAACTAATTGGATAATAAATACTCGATAATTTATTAGTTGCATCACAAAAATGTTTTAAAAAATCTCTTATACAAATTGTCATTTATCAATCTTCCTCAAATATAATGTCATTAGGCATTTTTGCATTATAAAAATCACTAAGAATTTGTTTGTGAGAAATACAACTTTCTAATATAGCATAGGTAGAATTCCATCTATGTTTAACATCTAATATAAAATATTTATATTTTAAACCATAATTTTGACATAAATATTTATATTCAATTGTTTTCTTACTTTAGAACATTTAATATATATATATAATACAATTTCTAATTTTAGAAATATGAGTAGAAATAATATTTAAAACATCCTTACATAAATTTAAGATGTGACATGCACATCTTATATGAAATAATTTACCATTTAAACATGGTTTTAATTGAGATTTTAAAATATTTATTGCTGAATCATTATTACTAGCATTACCAAAACTAATAGAAAATAGTTTATTCTCAATTTCATAAGCATGTAAAGTATTTAAAATGCTTGCATCAATAGTTGGGCTAGCATGTGACCATTCAAGCCTAGTAAAACTTAAAATTCTTTTATTTAAAATCCAATTTCCATCAATAAAATGATCGGTAACACAAATATAACTTATGTTATATTTAGAAGTCCAAACATCAGAAGTAACTGCAACTTTAAAATTAAGATTTGATAACATATAAATTAAAATTTGTTTATATGAATAAAAAATTTTTAAAGCATCTGATCTAATAATATTCCTAGAAACTTTTTTATATCATGGATTTATAGAATTACATAAACCATTTTTCAAGTTTAATATCTTCAGCTAACAAAAATGGTTGTTAGCATGTACAATGTATTTTGTTAATTCTTGCCTCATTTTTTCTTAAGAATATTTAAATGTACCAAAATCCCCTGCCCAATTTGTGTTTGTGTTATTTCTCTCCCTTCTTCTTCTTCTTCTTGTTCTTCTTCTTTCTCATGGGTGAACAAATGTCTGTTCAAATGGTTAGTACCACCCTTGTTACAATAGCTAAAGTCTTTCCTACATTTTTGGCAAACAACTCTTTTTCCGTTCCCCTCGACATCCTCTATTTTAAATATTTTCCAAACTAGGTTAATCAACTTAGAGGCCCTCTTTTTCTTTCCCCTAGTATCAACACTAGGGGTGGAAGTTCCATCAATATCAATAGCATCCATATCGGTGTTAATACTATCATGATGCGACTAAATATCATCGATATCGAACATGTTGGGGAATTGGTTTCAAGAGGAGACAACCATTTTTTTTTAAATTCTAAAAAAAAATTAATTTAATTGGGCTTACTTGGATTGCCAGTTCGGAATTCCAACTTGATTTTAACGGTTGAAGCCTTTCAACTCCAAGAGTCCAAGCCTCTCAAATTGCTAACTTGAGATACTTGAGCTGGTTGAGCAAACCTTCTTCTTGTTGAAACTTCAATAAAGTKGAGAATTGAAGAATCAATCAATTAGAATTCAAAGAATGTATGAGAGATTGAGACTTTGAGAGATTGGGAGATTGAAACTTGAGAGAGTATGAGAACTAGAGAAGAGATTAAGCGAATTGTTGAATTGGTGTGATGATAATGGTGGAGGATAGGGCTATTTATAGAAATTGAAAATAATTTAATCGCCCAAAGTACCCTAAAACTAGCAATTTTTTAGTTCTTGAGAGGGGTATTTTGGATATTGTAAAGTTATTTATTGCTTTACCCAAAATGCCCCCCTAAATTAGTTGTTATATAGCTGTTGGGGGGCATTTGTGTCATTTTTTCTCGTCCCATAACCAAAATACATAAATACCCCTATATAGCTGTTTATAGCTATTGGGGGTATTTCTGTAAAGAAAAACCCAAAAAGTTGAAACTAGCCGTTGGGGTGGTCTCCAACAGCTAGTTCCCGGACAGGCCAAGCGCAACCCGCAACGGGCCCATGGGTCGTATCGTACCGGCCCATGGGCCGTGGGCGGCATGACACACACAGTCATGCCGTGCTGTTTGGCCCATGGACTTCAAACCCCGTACCCAACACTACACGGACCATCGGGTCGAGTCTGGCACGGCCCGCATGTCATCATGCTATGTCGTGCTAGGCCGGTCCAAAGTCGGGGGCGGCATGACCCAATTTACACCTCTAGGATTATCCGCTTAGGAGTAATAGGATGCAAGACGATATGATCTTCACTTTACGTGAGAAATAATTGAAATACAAAGGTCAAGTGAGGTAGGAATGCAAACCTCTAAAAATGGTGGTGCATACCTAAACCTCTTGAATATACGTTATCCCGGATGGTGGTAAGGTCAAGTGAGGCTGGCTTCACTTGGGAAGAGTGCAACAAATTCATGCAGTTCAGTTAAATGCAAATTAGCGGTACATGTTTGTATGCATTTGGGAAAACTAACGCTGTTGTTGGTTCCTAAGACCAGTGTATGCAATGAATTTTCCTTTCTTAAAAACCATGCATTTATGCATCAAACTAAGTTTTGACCTGGAAACTGATGATCAAAACAGTAATCGGTTTTGAAAACATTGATCGAATCCCGCTGCACTAGGGTTGGGGGATGGGCTACCCCCCATGGCCCCATTGTGTAGTGTAGTTCATGCAGCAAAACAAATGAATGGGCCGAAACAAGCATTACGATGAAAACCACCTGATTGGCTGCAAGAATTTCCGTATCATGTCTTTTCGGCATCATAGTCGTATGATCAAAGAGACTAACGGAGTTCAGATTCCTAACGGAAGTCCACGAGAGCCATATACAACCTTATCCGCTTTCGAATATATGCATAATTGACGTCTGTTCTTTCTCTCTCATATAAAATATAAACAATTAATAAGTTAAGTAGTGATTGCGCGAGGCTGGCCTGACGCTAACCGTTGGATTCGACGTTCTGAATAGTTATTCCTCTTTAAAGGTGATTAGATAAGGATTCGTACGAGGTTCAGTCTCATCGGATTATTTTACCTCAATTAATAAATAAGTTGTGTAGCGTAGGTTAGGCAATTCGCTCACTGCGTGCAATTTAGATGTATGCAGAGCAATAGAAAACTCTACGGATTGTGCCGTGGCTGATGGCTCTGTGTTTCCTTGATCCGCTCGTAGACTCCAGGCACCCGATTCTCTGCTGCCCTAGCTCTCCCTTTTTCGTTGGCGGTTAAGTTTCAAAATAAAAGAATCTCAGTTTTAACTTCAATCACACAATCCGTAGTGTTGGTTTCTAACTTTGCCGTAACATTCTCTTTCCTCTTTCTGTGTCGCAACTCGCAATCGGTTTCCAACTCTCCACTGTTCAATCGCACAAACCCTAATTTTTATTTGTTTTCCTTCCCAATTTGCCTCTCTCAGTTCTCTTGTCATTTCGCCATTTCTATCAGCAACTTCCTGCTAAAATTTGAAATTCCAGATTGTTTTGTCTTCCTTATTCTGTCCCTTTTCTCACGTGATCTTCGTCTTTACTGAGTTCTTTTTTTTTTTTTTTTTGCGAAACCATTGAAGTCGGAAAACGTTGGTCTTATTTAACTTAATCTTTCAAATCTAATTTACTTCGCTTTGTGTTACCAACTCCATAGAATGGAGATTGGCTTCTAGGGGGTCTCAATTTCGTGTTTACGACGCTTGAAGATGCTTCCTTGGGGGGGACTGAGCTGCTGCTTGAGTGCAGCTGCTCTTTATCTCTTGGGGAGAAGCAGTGGAAGGTGCATTTTCTACTAATCATTTTTGAATTGTTTGATTATGATTTTAAATAGCTATTACTTGTTTTTCCTTTCATTCAGCGTAGTTCTTCTTTCAATGCTAATTTTAGTTTTTCTTTCTCAGAGATGCGGAGGTTCTTAAATCAGTTACACGGGTTGGCCAATTAAAGGACTTGGGTATGTGGATCATTAAAGATTTTCAATCTCAGTTACTGCTAAAGATTATTAATTATATTTACTTGCTTGTGAGATCGACTTCTAAGTTTGATATTGACTTCTGTAAAATTGGACATCTTTTTTTTTTTTTTTTGGGTAAAACAACTCTTGTAAATTGGACTTGAGCATTTAAACCAATGCAACACAATACAACTGAACCTTTGCTTGGAAACTTATACCGAGTCTGATGTTGAATCTGGACATTTTCATGTAAACCTAGGAACAATGGGTTCTTGGGGCCTACTTTTTAGTTTCAGGTGGTTTTCCCTTAATCAAGTGTCTTATAAAGAACAATCACTGCCTTTTTCCCCTCCTATGGGCGTTAATTATTGGGCATTCCTTAAGCACGGAATTGAGTTCCTGTTAATTTTCATTTGTTATCTTCTTATTCTGGAAATGCCGATTATCTTTGCAATTTTTTATTTCTTCTATAATATGCTGCTTTTTGTCATTGTGCTGCTGAGTAAGGCTATTTTCAGTCAATGTGAAACACTCAAGGCCAAAAGGTTTTGACATTATCTCTTCACCAATTGAATATCATCAAAGGAGTCATTATCATGCTTAACATCTTAATGCCATCATCTTCATGATAATTATGATCCTTTGTAGCATCTAACTTCACCTTCTTCAATTTTATTATTGTTTTGTTCTTCATTTATTTGTTCATTTGTTGTCCTCTTTTTAGTTCTCCTTTTGCTATTTGTCAATTTCATTGTTATTGTTGTCATCTTCATCTTTGTTTTCGTTATTGTCATTATTATCATCTGCATATTCTTCTTGCACTTCTTGTCATCATAGCTATCATCCTCTTCCTTTCTGTCCTCTTCCTCCTTAGCATTCATCATTTAATTTCTTCCTTCCCTCCTCCATTTTCTTTATCCTTTCATCAGTAGAAAAAATAGGGAACTAAGTCCATATAAAGTGTCCTGTCACCTTGGAAGATTTATGAAAAGTTGAAAATCATATGGCGGTTATTTTTCTCCATGTGATCATATAAATCTATAATTATCCTAAGTCTTGACACCTTAAGTCTTTAACAAATGATGGGTTTGTATCTACAATTTACAGCACAGCTCCTTGATACTGCATGCAAAGTATTACCCTTGGTTGTTTCCATTTCTGGACGAGTTGGATCAGAAACACCAATTAACTGTGAGTATAGTGGGCTGAGGGGTGTAATAGTGGAAGAAACGGTACGAACTGATACTAGAGAAAATCTGGTTTATCCATATGCCTGATTCAAGTTGTTTTTGTGCATCTGACTTTTCTTTGTCAATTGTTTTTCCCCTTCAGGCAGAACAACACTTTTTGAAGCACAACGATGCGGGTTCTTGGATACAAGATTCAGCCTTGATGCTTTCCATGAGTAAAGAGGTTCCTTGGTACCTGGTGTGTTGTTTTGTTTTCTTACTGCATCTGGATGATTCTTGGAAATCTAAATAACTGTGATAACTAGCAAATATGGTTCTTGTAGTTGTAACTACATTTGTACCCAAAAAGGCAGGATGGATGGAAAAAGAATACAAAGCCATTGAATGGTTCCACTACACTATGAACAATTATCCTTATTTCTGTGTTTGAGAAAGGGTATAAAAGTCATTTATTATAGTTTTAATGTCAGCTTTAATGGCTACTAAAATGCCCATATTTGTGTATTTAATTCATCTCTAATTGTTAGGGTTGAAAATGTAACTTTAGTTATTACTTTCCACCTCATTTAATCTCCTTTAATTAAGTCTTATACTTGAGGTATTAAATCCCATTTTCTCTTATTAAATGCAATATTTTTAAGTTATTTTTCACCAATAAATGCTACTAATTATATATGTCAATATTTTTAACAGTATAAATCCATATATTTTAAAATTGACTCAAAAACAAAACCATTCTTTATCAAAGTGGTGGTTAAGCAATTCAACCATCTGAATCAAATTAATCAATCTACGAAGTCATAGGTAATAAAATTTTTAAAATATAAATATAAACAACAATTATTTTAATTGATAATGAAAATGAAGTACATAATTTAGAATTGGCCTAAAGTGAAATTTAAAAATTAATAATTAATAGTTTAACTTTTAGTTAAATGTATTAAACTTTAACATCATAAATAAATAATAAAAATACAAAAATTAAAAATACATACCTTTTGCAAAAAATATTCAGACACATGTATAATTTCATATATTTATCATATTAAACAACAAGTAAGTGTAAAATATCAGAATTAGTTTTACACACAAAAATACAAAAAAAACTATAGTAAAAATTGAACACATCTATAACTCTATATTTACACTACTATTAAAAATATGAATAAGACATTGATAAAAAAATATGAATAAGATTGTGGAATTTTCTTTTGACTAGAATACTGAATTTTGAATTTAGTCCCTATTTAATTATGAGGTTTAAATTGTAAATTGGACTACTAATTTTCACCACATTCAATTCACTCTGTTTAAATCTTACATTTTTTGATAAATGAACAGAAAAAGATACACCAAGATAATAAATAATTACAAAATGAGGAATCTAGCCAAGCAATAGGGGTGCAAATGGATTGGATCATGATCTAATCCGATCCTTTTTGTCAAATTTGGATATCCCCATTTTGAATCTTCGGATCGGATTGGGTCGGATAATAGGATTCGATAAAAATTGGATTGAATTCGGATCACTCCCYATCCGATCCGATTTATATGTTATTTATTTATTTATATTGCATTTTTAAAATTTTTTATATTATTTTTTTTTATAAAAAATGTATATATATGGTGACAATAGTTGAAAAGATACTCGTATTTTTTGTTTTTTCTTTATTTAAATTGTTATATTTTAATGTTTTATTATTTTTTAAATTAAATTGGAATGAATTAGATCCAAATATATGACTTTCTCGTCAAATTCATATTCAAATCCATGTTTATGATATGTGATCAGATCTACTATTAATAGTATTGGATCGGATTCGGATATACCCTTATTCGAATCCGATCCAATCCGTTTGCAACCCTGCCAAGCTTGTAGGCTTGTTAATGATACTTGAAACTTCACAATTCAGTCTGATTATGACGTATTTGGATGGGGTATTTATGTAATCAGATTTGGATTTTGCATTCTACATCCGATTAATAATAAAAAATATAAAATATAAAAAAAATACATAAAAGTTTATAGAAAATTTTGGATATATTATTATCATTATCATCATCATCATCATCATCTAGAATTGCCATGTGTAAAGCACGTGCATGCTTACTAGTTGTACCCAAAAAGGTAGGATGGAGGGAAAAGAATACAAAGCTATTGAATGGCTCCACATCAAAGAACTATTGAATGGACAAAAGCAAAGAACTAGAAATCAACTCCCAGCCCTGGTGAGCTCCACATCAAACATTCCCTTACAGGTTATAGCCCATGGTTTTGCTAGAGAATCAACCAACATGTTAGTGGACCTAGGCAATAGGCACACATTTAAAAGAAAGGTTCAAATTTCTACCTAGGCAATGAGCTGTCTCACCAAGAGTCTGTAACTCCATGGGTCATAGTCGTCAAGGTGTCTACGCTATTCTAGGGGAGTTGGGTGACAAGAATTATATAAAATAAAAACATAAATTTTGGTTGCCTCTATAGTTTTATAAATTTATATAACCAGCATGCTTATTAATTAAAAAGTAACAATTATCTTTACTAAGAACATTAAATTTCCTTTCAAAACATGGCAAATCATCATCTAAAAGACAATAGTATTTTTAATATTTTCAAAAATAGTACTAATGTAATAAGTATTTAATAATGCAATTTCATATCAAATTAGCAATTGAAGAAGGATATAATTTTATATACGATAGAAACTTAAGATAGAGAGTTGGAGAAAAAAGAACAAGGGTGGCAGCACCATTTTATTTGATGTAAGAGACAGAATAGAAAAAAACAAAAGAAAGAAAACCTCTTTATCTTTCTTTCTTTCTTTTTCTCTTATCAAAACCCTTGGATCTTTTAACTTTCAAGTTTCAATAGTAAAACTTCAAAACAAAGTATAATTCAAAACCCTTGAGTTATAGTAACTAGGTGCCCAACTAGGCGATTAGGAACCCACCTAGGCAACAAAAAACACAAGGCAGGCACTTTATAATAATATCATCAGCATGGTTACATCTTACTAATATGTGTTTCAATACATTATATATGTATAGGTGGGCTCCTACCTCCTAGTGGCCTAGATGGACACACAATTACTATAATTCAAGGTGTTTAGGCAAGGTGTCCAGCCAAGAGTGCCTAGTCACCTAGGCAATGCCTTGACAGCTATGCATGTGACGTCCTCCCTCATCCAATAGATCACTGTTTTAAGTCCCCTTCTACAACATAGCAGTCCAATCAAATGTGGCAATGAACTTGAGACCTTGTACCAGTGCTATTAACAATGCTGTCGTTGATCTTCCATGTCCAATCAGGTCTGAAAAGCTGAGAACAATGTTAATATTTGTGATTTCTTATTACCTTCCCAGACCTGATGCTCTGAGATTACCCAGACTGCAGCCATCAAAGTTAATTTTCAGTGTTCCTTCATTGGGTGCCTCCCACCCTGCACTTCTTTGTTGTTTGCTACTTTCCCATCTCACAAGTCACAATAACTTGCCATCCTCTTAACAGATTGTTCATGTTAACTCCTCTAAGTCCTTCACACACCAAAGCCCAAGGAGCCATTCTCACCATTATGAGATTTATCAGCACCTCCACTTCACACTCCTTGTCTTCAAAAGATCTTGCATTTCTCTCCACCCAATAAATCCCTAAGGACTGTTGCCCTTGTACATTGCCAAAGAATTTTTTTCCTTACAGTGTGACAAGCTATTGGGTTTACGATAAACAAGTCCATAATATTTGGTGGAGAGCAGTCCAATCACTCCCTAAAAGATGAACAAAGTGACTCCATACCTGAGTTGCATAATGACAACTCAAAAGGTGATTAGTGTTTAATTGATAATGGAAAAGGGTGTATCTCATGTAGTCCTGATATGTTCTTAAATAATACAATAATACATCATAGTTTACTCGTGAACAGGCCTCCTGCATTTCTGAACAAGAACATATGTCTTGGCTATGCAATCTCTCTCTCTCTCTCTCTCTCTCTCTCTCTTATTGGTGACTATGAAGAAAAGAAGTCTTTGAGGACCATGCAATCTTATTAATAAATGAAATTCCCTTGATATGTAGAACAGGCTCTTCCAGAGCAGTCCCTTGAGTTTGTTTTTCTTATCGTTGTCCTTTTGCTAGGATGATGGAACTGGTCGTGTATATGTTGTGGGAGCTCGAGGTGCCACAGGCTTGGTATTAACTGTTGCAAGTGAAGTCTTTGAGGAGTCTGGGCGGTCTCTTGTTCGTGGAACCTTGGACTATCTCCAAGGTCTCAAGGTTTGTTACATCGATAATCTGAGCCCTATTAGAAATCACCATGTGTGCATGTATGTATGTATGTAGGTAATTGTTATTGAGTTGAGCTTAATTATGGTCATTATTTTTTTTCAGATGCTTGGGGTCAAGCGAATTGAAAGGGTTCTTCCGACTGGCACATCCTTAACGGTTGTTGGCGAGGTATCTTAAAGTATTTGGTCATACCTAGAGTCTCTCATTTTCTTACCAAAAAATGCATCAAGAAAATGAAATGCATAAGAATGAGGCTTTAGTTCTTATGTGGTTGAATGCAGAGGACAATTTTTCCCAGAAGTACCACCTAGGAGATTTGCTTGGCTAAAAACAATTTACTCAATTGGGTTTTCTTAAGTATCCTTCATGTAATTCTATTGGGCATAAAGAGTAATATGGAGTCAGGAGAAAGGGCAATGCCTGCCCTAAAATAGCTAATTACCTAAACTGGACATGTTTTTCAGGAATCTGAAGATTCACATGCAACAAACTTCAGCATATCACTTGAGATGCTATAAGGGTTTCATTTTGGCCTGTTTTGCATTTGACAAAAATGATGGGGATATTCCAGAGGTTTTTTCATTCTTTTTGAACAA